AGCTTTGTAACGCGCCAAACTTGCTTCATGTTCCTCCCTAAGTTTTACTTGTTCCTCACCAAGCCTCTGCATTGCCATTTCAGATTGCTCATTTGCCTTCCTCTGCTCTTCATTTTGCACCCTTTGCTCCTCAAGTGCTTGTCGCAGGGTATGAACCTCTCTTGATATCCCTCTTCGGTCAGTTATTATCCCAAGGACATCCACCCATGACACTCCAGCTCCCTCAAGAAGTCACTCATTTTGATTTGCTATGTTTGGGTTTGAGGGTGAGTTGGTTGGAAGTGGTTTCGTTCTTCTCTGTTCATATGAATACAAAGGTTCTCTGTTTTATAGTGGCATTCTCCCACCTATTTGAACTTGCATATTTTGAATTCTTTAAACCAGCGGGAAAGTTTACCAAAGCAAACCAGCGGGAAAGTTCACCAATGCCAATAATTAAATATTACTTTTGCTACTGTTTGTCATTCAAACCATTCAATATATAATTAAATGGAAGAGACTAGCATTCACAATCAACCATTCAATATAAAATTAAATGGAAGAGACTAGCATTTACAATCAATATCCAATTTAAGGCCAAATGCCAAAACTGAGTGAAGGGGAGCCAAGCCAGTTTGTAAAGGGAGCCAGCCACGTCTCTTTGTGTGATTTGTGAGTTGAGTCAATTGAGCTGCAGCTTCCTTTGACAAATTGGGACTGATAATGACAAGTTGGGACTGATAAAAAGGATCAAATATTAAAGGAAAATCATGAAAATCAATGTTTTGTATTACACACCATTGACTATCCCAAATATCTTTAATAGGCATGGTTTTGGAATTAGTTTCCAAACAAAATTCACAAGACACTTTTATGAAATTGTATCTAGAAAATCAGTGTGTAGTGGCCATATTCTAGTAGTGATTAGATACAATCTATTATTAGCACGCATCAACCCTAAGGTGAATATCTTCAAAATAACATCCTTAACATGGAGAGTCATCACTGCAAGGAATTCATGTGGTTTTTGTATTTTTTTGTAGCAAGTACTTGTAAAGTGCATGAAAAAGCTATTATCATCTAACCATCAAATCCTTAATTAAAAAACACTAAAACATAACTCAATCAAATGTAGATGCAAACACATTAAAGAAACCCATCAGAAAATTAAACAAAAGCATACCCATATAGAAAATTAAAAAAGTAAAACTCATCCGTCCACACCTTCTGAATTTCACTCTTGATTTTCTTTAAATAGATGCAGCCTACAACCCAAGGAATCATTTACTTAAGCACTTAGTGGAAACAAGATAAGCACAAACCTACTACTTGATTGACAGATTGATTCGTTTGGTGCTAATTCTTCTTTTTTCTACAGCAACAACAAAACGAACATTTTCTTATACGAGACTTAATAAAAATCAGCTTCGAAACAAGATAGGTGATGAATTTCTTGTTGATTGTATGTGTTGAGGCCCAAAAAAGTCATGAGAAGCCCAAAGACATTTAAAGCCCAATATAACATATAATGTTGGTCATGCATTAATCTAAGCTGTATTTTGGGAATTAATTCATTAAATAAATATAGAAATAGTGTGCATGTCATTGTAAACTTTATTGACTGCACATAAGTAGAACACATATCTTTGGTATGTCATAGAAACTGTCGACATATCAAGAATATACACAAGAGCTCTTCTCCTCAATCCGATCCCTCATACACTCATTCTAGATGGGGTGAATTCTTTTGTGTGGGTTGGCTTAATCGGTTGAGCAGGGGCACTTGTATTTATATGCATATTCCTAAGAGTCTTGCCCATCAAGAAACTCTTAAGAAGTCCTTATTGCATTAGGTTTATAACTTCTAATCCACAATTAAGATAGGAATCCTTCTAGCTCTTATATTAGCCTTAAAACACTAACTTTAATAGAGCTGCAGGTTTAGTTGTATTTGAACTCCTAATTGATATCAAGTCTTAGAATCCTTTGATGATTATAAGACCACACTTTAATGGGTTAGACATCTACACGTCTAACAATCCCCTCTATCAAAAACAAAAAACAAAAACAAAAATTCATGATTTTCCTTTACTAGCACCCAAGTAATTGGGGCAAGGGTAATTTCAATTAAATTTAAAGAAAGGAAACAGATAGAGTCACTGATGACCCATTTTTTGGGTTAATTCTTCATCAGCTTTGTGAAGAAGCAACATGACTGCTTTTCATAGCATTAAAAGACACCAATTTCGTTTTAACGTTGCAGTGGATTTTCCTTTTAATCCTAGGAAAACCATCTTTACTGCGGTTGTTGAGTGGGTTAAAGCCGCTATTGGCTCTGGCAAGAAACCTGATAGAGTACTTGTCTTTTTGGCTTGGGAACCTCCTACAATTGGTCAACTTAAGCTGAATGTGGATGGTTCTAGAAGGGCTGCCACTAATATTATTGGAGCAGGAGGTGTTATCCGTGACTCCTCAGGTGACTGGATTGCCGGGTTTGCTGTGAATTTGGGCCAAGGTCATATCTTGGAGGCTGAGGTTTGGGGCCTATATTTTGGGCTAAAACTTGCTGTTGAAAAAGGTGTCACTAACCTTGCTATTGAAATGGATGCTGCTGTTGCTGTCTCACTTGTTCAACAAATCAATTCATTGCAATGCCATCCTCTTGCTGCTTTGGTGCATAGTTGTTGTGATCTCATGCGACAAATTGGAACTTGTCACCTTGTCCACATTTACAGGGAAAAGAATTGTGTTGCCGATTGTTTGGCAAACTGGAGTTATAATCTGGATTTGGGAATTTGCTTCTTTGATGAGGCTCCTGTCTGGGTTAGCTATCTGTTGATGGATGACTTACTTGGTCTTGCTAGGCCTCGACTCATGTGCGGGGCTTAGTTGTTTTCTGGGGGTTTCCCTTATTTCACCAAAAAAGAAAGTGAAGTTCGAAAGATAAAGCAACCAATTGGAAATGGCGTCATGCCCAACATGTCAATAGTCTGCTATGATAATATGAAGGACGTTGAAGTTTCATGTTAAAATTAATTTACAACTGAGTCACTTGTATGATCAAAGCCAGGATGCCTAATCAGTTTCTTCTTTTAATCACTGCATATCCATGAAAGAAAATTAAGAAACAAAACCGAATGTTATTATCATGTCAACATACCAACAACAAAACAATGTTAGGATCAAGGGCTCATCATCTAATACATACATACCACTTTATTGGTGACCTGCTGTTGCACAATCTCAGTCAAGCCATAAAAGTTTTTAGTGGGGACCCAATCTCCACTCACCCAATCCTTAATATTTATGATTATCTGAAAAAGAAGAAAATGAACAAGCTGAGGTTGGTTGCCATTTGAATGAAAGTGTGAATGCAAAAGAAAGAAATTAGTTAGAAAAACGCACCAATGCTGATGTTTGGGATGTGAGCAATCTTGGACCAGTCCTCACCTGTTTCTTTCTGGCATCTTTGCTTTAAGATGGGGGGGCAACACCCAATTATCAACCGTTGTAATGAGGTGAGGCAACGAAGCCCTTCTGGGAGTGATGCCAAATTAGGGCAATCCAATATCCAAAGCAACTGAAGTGATTTGAGGTTGCCCATCCCTTCTGGTAGTGAGGCCAATTTCGGCAAACTCCAAATTTTCAGTTCCCTTAAGGAGATGAGGCATCGAAACCATTCTGGTAGTGATACCAAATTAGGCCAATGTTCAATTTCAAGCGCCCGAAGTAATGTGAGGTTGCAGATCCCTTCTGGTAGTGATGCCAATTTAGGACAATTTGAAATATGCAATCTCTGTAAGGAGATGAGGCGACCCATCCCTTCATCTGGTAGTGATGCCAATTTAGGACAATTTGAAATATGCAGTCTCTGTAAGGAGATGAGGCGACCCATCCCTTGATCTGGTAGTGATACCAAATTAGGGCAATCTTTAATTTCAAGCTCCTCAAGTAATGTGAGGTTGCCAATCCCTTCTTCTGGCACATATTCTATATCCTCAACGCTCCTAATATACAGAGATTTTAATTTGGAGGAGGGAACAAAGGAGGAGGGAAGGACCTTCCAGCTGCTGCTCTCTAACTTCAGTGTATCAAGATTTGGGTACAGTGGCATGGAAGTTAGGTTAGGACATTGCCTTATATTTAAAGTAGAAAGACAAGGAAAGGAAGAAGCTGAAGCTGAAGCTGTTTCATTCCTCCACCATCCCTTGAGATTAGGGCAACTAATTAGATCAAGACTCTCTAAGGAGGGAAAGAAGGTCGTCGATGGAGAAGCAGCTGACATCATCATCTCACTGGCAAAGTCCTTAACCTTGTCTTCTGATGATATGTACTCCAAATTCCATAAACAGAAAAGCATAAGACGCTTAAGAAAAGGTAAATCATCCAACGGTGGAAGATGTTGGCATCTGTCACAGTAATACAATCGGAGATTAACAATATTTGTGAGAGAATGAAACCAACTCGCAAGCCTCTCACCCGGGAATCCTTCCACGACTAATTGTTTTAGACTTGAATGGGGCTGCAGCGCTTCCATTGACTTAATAATTACATCACTCTCCTCCTCAATCGCATCACTATTTACTCTTTCAACACGCATCCAATGTAAAGTCAACGAATAGAGATGTTGCTTCTCCTTCAAAACTGCACCATCATAATTCAATTCTAACACCATATCTTGCTCGCACCTCAAATTTCTAATCTCCAACTCTCCTCTTAAATTCTTCAACTTCCCCAACTCACTGAGCCCTGCACTGTCCCTCAACATGGAATTATTTTTGCTCAAAACAAATCTACTCAAAGTACGAAGACAAGCCAAATCACCCAATCCATGAGGAATTCGAGCCAATTCATAACAGCGTTCCAGAATGAGATGCCTCAAGTTGATCAATTTCTTGATATCTCTAGGCAATTCCACAAGAGACTTACATCTTGAGAGATCTAGTGTTTCCAAATTTTGAAGTTTGACTATCCAATTTGGAAGTCTCTCCATTTTTTTGTTATCACTAAGATCAAGATATCTTAAATGTTTCATTTTCCTAAGACATTTTGGCAATTTTGTAATTCCCAATTTATTCAAACTCAACGTACGCAATGACTTAAAATTTGAAGCAAGTGTAGCACAAAATGACTTCTCCTGCCGCTCTTGTCTTAGGAAAAGAAAAGTCCGCTTCAACTTTAAAGCAATTCTAGCCCAAAATGACCTCTCCTGCCACTCTTGTCTTAGGAAAAGAAAAGTCCTTAGCTTATTTGATTCCAGCAAGGATGTTGGTATCTTCCATTTCGACAAATCAACCTTAAAATCGAAAGATACATGAAGAAGACATTTTGCATCAAAATCAGTCTTATTGCGATCTATTATTGTGCTTCCCTCCCCTGCCACTTTAACAGCAAGTTCATTCATGAGATCATGCATTTTACAGCTTTGTATTATACCAAACTCATCTTTTTCTTCTTCTTGCAAAAAAGATCTCCAAACTAGTTCGTTATAATATGCATAACCAACATCTTCCAAGCACTCATTAGGATTTGAAGACTTAACAAACCCTTGTGCCACCCACAGCTTAATTAAATTATGTACGGGAATCTTATAATCAGGCGGGAACAAACTACAATAAGCAAAACAATGTTTCAAATGTGATGGGAGAACATCATAACTCAGCTGAAGTGTTGGTAAAATATCAGTTTCTTCTTGCCTTATTGTTGAAAGCTTGTTATTCTTGAAAGCTAACCACTCAGTTTCTGGATCTCTAGTGTACAACATCCGTCCTATGGTCCTTATAGCAAGCGGAACCCCCTTACATTTTCTAGCAATCTCCTCCCCAAGGGCCTTAATGGTTGAACTCGTTGGCTCTTTTCCATCTTGGAATGCCATTTTCTTAAACAAATACCAAGACTGCGCTTCACTTAAGCCCCTAATGTTATATGGTTTAGATGTGTCTGTTATTTTTGCAACTATTTCACTACGAGTGGTTATTAGTATTTTGCTACCTTTTGCACCACCCAACAACAAGTTTTGCAAGCCAAACCATTTTTCACGATTCTCGTTCCAAACATCATCTAACACAAGGAGGTATCTCTTCCCATCTATTATTTTCCTCAGTTCTTTTTGCAACTGATCAATCTCAAGACTTTTGGCTATGTCATTAGTTGCAGATTGAATGATTTTCTTAACTAGTACATCCAACTCAAATACATTAGAGACACATATCCACATTTTCAGCTCAAAATAAGTTTGGACCTCTGGATCGTTGAATAAGAGTTGGGCAAGTGCAGTTTTTCCCAATCCTCCGAATCCGACTATGGAAATGATTGATACATTCTCTTCAGAGACGGTATCAAACAAGAGTTGTTTAATTGCATTTTTATCTTCATTTCTCCCTATAATAGTTTCCGTAGGGGCAAAAGAGTGAGTTACCCTTCTAAATCGTGTATCTTCACGACTCACTTCTAAGTGAAAGTTTCTACGAGATGCAATCACATTAAGTCTCTCCTTAATACTTTTAATCTTATGACCCATCTTTAGCCGAAAAGCAAGCTGGTTTGAGCTAGAGAAGAAGATGCATACCTGCTTTAACACTTGATTATTTCCGGGCATCATTTGTCTCCACTGTCCTTCAGCATAAAATTCATCTAGCACGTCATCAGCTTGATAAACAGCATCTTCTAGGCTTTGAAGCCACAATTTGACTGCATGAGTCGCTTGCTTTTGCTCTGCATCAAGAAGAACAGCTTGGATTTGGGCAACTGTCTCCTCAAGCTTCAGGAGCTCATCTTTGACACCCCAAATCAATCCCATCTCTTGGAACGCATGGGAGGTCAACCTGCCAATGATCCCTTCTGCAATGTTGAAGAGGACTCCTTCTGCCATCGCCTTGATGCAGAATAAAAGCAGAGGTGAATTAATTACAAAAAATTCAAGTGTTTGTTTCAAATGGTGATCGTGGAAAATGGATCATCATGGCTAGTCTTATATATAAGGCCCTGTAATTGGCATCTTTCAAGTAAATATTGGTTAGGCAAGGCATATGATTCTAGCCTACTATGTTAGTCTAAAGAATTTGTTGCTAGCAAGCAAAGATTGGTAATAGAATTAGGATCACACTTGATCTCAAGTAAAGCAATTGGAGATTAGTGAAGGACACATGCCTTGCCTCCCTTGTTAGCATATGATTCTAGCCTAAAACTTCCTACAAGTTTGTACCACCCATATACTATTCCCTGCAAGATGTACCACGTGACCATACTTAATTAAGCTTCATTCTCATCGGAGAAATATAGAGACACTTTACCACGAGTTGAAGTAAAGAATATATCCTACCTAAAACTTATTTCTCTGTCTGTGGGTCTGATTTGATTCTTGCCACTGGCCTAAGATTGCTCACATCCAAATACAAATACGTTGATATTTATACGTCTAAAGATCAAGATTCAAAACATGGTGCTTCTGTTTGCTAACTTGTTCTACTGAACACTTTTTGGACTTATCAGATACGCCAACCTCACTTGTTGATTTTCTTCTTTGCTGATTCATATGACATACCATCGGTTCCACCAAAAACCTAAAGACATACCATCTGGTACATCTCAACCAAAGATGATTTGGTTGGAAAATATAGCAAATTGGGGTAGTATAGTCACGTGGTACATCTTGTACACGTGTTATAATATAGATGGACGACAACGGTTATTTTCCTCCCTTTTAGGGAATAGTATCAATAAATATCCACTTATATTATAGCACGTATACAAGATGTACCACGTGGCTATATTACCATAATATTCTATAATCACTCTAGCTCTAGAGAGAATTAATTAATTTCCAAGGGCTTCTAAGGCACTCTATAACAAGTGTATTACTTGTTTATCCATCTTTATTCCTCCACAATTAACCATAAATGAAACAACAATTTCACTATTTTGGTAATAGTACTTGTTTTTTCTAATACAAAACAATATCAATCAAACAAAGTAAGGACTTTTTTTCACCCAAAAAAAAGTAAGAAATTTTGGAGGAAGAACCAAATTGGGTCAGCCCAACATTGCTTTGTTGCTGCAAGAAATTCAAGTGGGGAATTCACTTTAAATCTGCTGATCAGCTTGAGCTTGAGGAGGTTCTTGTCCATCAGAGTTCATGAGGGCAACTTCAGCACGTGTTTTAGCTAATTGGCATTCTGTATCTTGTATTTGTTGATGTAATTGGGAAATAACCCCAACGCAGCCAGAGATAGGATCCTGTATTCTACACTGAGCCTCATAACGCAAGGTCTCTGCTGCTTGAGCTCTTAGATGGGGCATGAGTTCCTGATAATTAATCATGAGAAAAATCACAGTTAGAGATTTAAAACGAGAAACCAATAGATAATTTTAATGAAAAATACCTTTTTAAGAAAAGAACCGAAAAAAAAAGGCTTCAGCTCTTCAAATAGATCATGTCAATTAGATCATGAAATTATTTACAAGAAGGCCAAAAATACATTGCTTTAATAAGCTACTACAATTGTTGCATTAAAAATTTCAGAACATGACCTTCTATTCATTTCTTTCTCAAATATAATGTCTTGCTCCCAATGTGCCTTCTCTTCTCCCTCCCACATCGTACTATCATAGTGTGGTAGTATCCCAAACTAATCATGTATTGTCATTTGAAAAAATTATCACTCGTGGTACCCTGGTATAAATAAGTTTTTACGGTGCTTATCGCTAAGTAATAAAAATAGTAAAGTGTCGAATGGGTGATACTACCTGGAGCATTTTGGCAACATTGCTGGCACCATAGATTCTATGAACAGAAGCAAATCTTTGAGGATCACTGGACGGAAAATAGGGAGAGAGTATGCAATCTGAAGGGCATCTCCTTCTCAAATACTTGCACCCAGCACAACGACCAGACATATTCATTTTGATCAAAATCTAGAGAATGATATCAAAATCTCATTCACATATATTTTCTCAATCTTTTTTCTGAAGAAGATCAAATCTTAACTAGATTTTTGGTGTCTTGACTTGAGGTATTTGTATTGAGGGCTGTGTTAGCTCTAGCTAGAGAAATTTCCAACGGCTGCTTTTTTCTTTTTGAAACTGAAGACTTATAAGGAAATGTTCTTGGCATGGTAATACTAGACTCGTAATTAGGGTTTGGTTTCTCATGTAAATTTCTTTTTTTTCATATCGTAGTCTTCCATTCAGGAAACCAATACCTTTCTTTTATTCGACCTGCAACTTTATTTTGATTGGACCAAACCCGCTATTTGTTTATGGAAACTAACCGGATTGAGTTGACTGACTTTCATTTCTTTCTTAGTTTTGCCACAGCATGCTGCATGTGTAATAAGAAAAACCAAAAGTCACATAACCAATTATTTGCAGCTCTTCTTTTATCCCGGCGCGCTTGATATATAATAATCCTCAAGTTGGAGAAGATATTAAGCAGTGAACGGTTAAAAAGAATATATGTAACATCGGAAATTTGACAAAATAAAATACAGTATATAATGAATGATCCCACTATTAATATCACCAAGAACTTTTGTGATAAAACTCCTCGGTGATATTGGTAGTGAGACCATTCATTATATATTTTATTTTATTTTGTCAAATTTCCAATAAGAGACATTTTATTTTATTTTGTCAAGCTGAAAAAGGTCCAAGAGAGAAGATTAAAGAGAAAGTTGTTATCTTACTCTATTAAACAAACACCAAGAGGCCCATGAAATGCACGCACGCGCGATTGGAATCATGAAAGTTAAACGAGATTCTAGTTTACTTTCTGTCTTATATCCCCGAGAGAAAAATAATAGTAACACCAAAAAAGAAAGTGATGGCTAGTTCAAATAGCTTGTGAAGCAAATTTGTTGAACAGAACAAAAGGTAGTGAGAGTACAGAACAAAGTTGCCACAAAATTCTAAAACTGTAATAAATTACTGTTCCACTGACAGTCCTCAGATCTCACATAAAAATAAGTTATGTTCAAAGTAGTATTACATGAAATTCACCCTTCTTACATTACAATAAATAAAAACATATTCTTTTTTAACCTCCTATCATCTACAGACACTGTGTAAGCTTCAAATGGACAAACAGTTGACCGAAAGAACGATAAGAACAAAATATAAGACAATTACGTAACTCCTCCCACCTCTCCAGCTTTAATTGGGCGAACAAAATAAATTTGAATTTGAATTTAACGAAAGTGACTTCGTCTTTATGTCTAGCAGTTGATTCCACACTGCTCAACATCTGGACCAGTGACTCTTGTGGTAAAGGGATCAACCCTCACCCATAACAAAGAGAAAATCGAAGCAAGCAGAATCGACCACACGATGACAATGGTAGGAGTACGGTTCTGGCGTCCCATGAGACCTTTGAGGAAGGGATATAAATGGACGATCACCCAAAAGGCAAAGAAGAGCTTACCAAAGAGGGGACCCCATGACTGGTAACCACTGTTGATGGCATAGGATATACCCGCAACAACTCCCACCAAGTTTATGATGAGGAGAGTTGTTGGTGGGATGAGAAGGGTTGTCCATTTAAACATGTAGAGTTCAGTAAAGTCCCCGTCTTCGTCTGATGCCTTGGAGGTGACAGTGAAGTTGGTGTCAATACCAGCAAGGACTTTGAGGAGACCTTGGACGACGGCAAAAAGATGGGCTGAAACACCACCAATAACCCAAAACTGTTCATTTCTCCACCACTCATCAATTCCGACACCACTCCACCTCATCTCTAGAATACCAGTTGCAAAGATGGAAAGAAAGAGGGAGATGAACCATATACTCGCAATGTTGCTAATCTGCAAACAGAATTAGCCAAAAAAATTAGTGAAGCCGTACAACTATCTTTTAATAAAATTTCACAGTACACGCAAATTGACTTGCAGAAGATATATATTCTAAGGTACATCAATATACAAAACCTATCTACTCTTAAACAAGTAGAGTTGCACTAGCACCCCTGCACTGAGAAGAGAGACTACATTGAGGCCATGTTTGATAGGGAGGATTGGATTGGACTAGCTTGGACTAGTAAAATGCTTCGATTTCATGTGCAATCAAGGAAGAATGCGGGTCTTCTAACTTGGAGGATTAAGGTGGACTATTCATATGAGATTGATGTCTAAAACTTATCCCCACTAATCCCCTTGAAAATGGTGGGATTAATAGATAAGTTTTAGGCATGAACCTCTTATGAATAGTCCATCCTAATCCTTCCAAGTTAGAAAACAACACCCATACTAGTCGTTGATTGCACATGAAATCTAAACATTTTACTAGTCCAAGCTAATCCTCCCTCTCAAACATGGCATGAGAGGGTTCTCTATAAGGGCAACAAGGTAAAAAAAAAATTAAACAAAGGCCGAGAGAACAGTCTAGCAAACAAGGAAATTATGATGACAAACCTGTGGAATGATGAACTTGTTCGTAAGAAGACAGACAGCTGGCAGTGTACAGTACATCAGAAGAGGTATGGAAGTGATTGGGTAAATGGTAGTGTTGACATATGCAAATCTCTCCAGCCATTTTAGCCTACCGCTGTAACCATACCAGATAGGACAATGCCGACTAAGAAGAATTTCCACGGAACCCAAGGCCCATCGAAGCACTTGGTTCAGACGATCTGAAAGATTAATAGGAGCAGACCCTTTAAAGGCTGGGCGCTTAGGCATGCAGTATATAGACCTCCACCCACGGGCATGCATCTTGAATCCCGTGAGAATATCTTCTGTGACAGAACCATAGATCCATCCAATCTGTGGGAGACAGATAATCATCATCTTAAGAGTGAACAAAAATGAGGAAAAGAAACAGAAAATAAAAGGAAAACCATGGTCCACTGAAATTTTCACCCAATAGCAAAAGCTTTCAGGA